CTTCCTCCGTAAAAACTGCCACCCTGTCCATCGTAAGTGCAAATGCACCTTTCACAGAGCTCCCCTTTATTAGCAACACAACAGATTGGTTTGGATTGCTTGTCCTCATGAAAACATTTGGTGTAACAAAATTAATTTTGAAACTCCTCCCCTCCTCAATGCACATGCTTTTTTATGCTATTGGAAATGAAACGGCCTGTGGGAGAAAAATGCCATGGGAAGATTAAAAATGATCCTGCAGTGAAAGAGTCCAGCATCATCTGAGGCAGGTGCTAAGTATTGGCACCTCAGTTCAGTTCTGTGAACCTGGCATTGCTTTCTGTAAGGCCATGAGACTCTTGTTTCTTTATATCTCAGCTTCCTCTGTTTGCCTGTCTTCCATCATGTTTTGGAGACTAATGTTTATGGAGTGCCCTGGTGTGTAGCCTGCTAAATGCTACTGCTTACAGGAAGAGGGAACCAGATAGAGAAGAAAATCAAAAGGCCAGCTGCAAAGGACATCTTCGTAGGGTTTGAATATAGATACACGTTACATAAAGACCTAGAAACTCAGCAGCTCTTTTTTGGATGAATTGTCTGATTCTCTTTTGTTGACAAACTGAGTATCATAAAAATTCGCACTGCTTGAGAGAGTTGCTGGGCTAAGAAAAGGAGGACTATGCCCTCAGCATGTGAGCCTTTTTGCTTCCAGACCCAGAGTGAAGCAGCTGGGAACTTTCTGGTGAAACTGAAAAGGCAGGCAAGGATCTTTTCTGAACTTTAACAGATATTCCAGTCAAGTGTTACTGGAAATTCCAGGTGTCTGTTTTTATTTCTTCTGCTTTTCATGTTGTCTGCCTGCTGCAGACTTCTTGTCCCTACCTATTGCAGGGGGCTGCTGCACAGCTCAGCGAGAGGCCACAGATTCCATCAGTGGCTGCCAGCGTTCGCCTACTGTGAGAAAGCTACACACAGCAGATAATTTGATTTAACATGCGTACTTCCCCTGCAACTTCATTGTTTGTTAATTAGTAACAGGACCCCTACACCCTCACTACTGATGTAATTCACCTTATACCATATACTTCAGGCTTGTTTGCATACTCTTTTTCTTACCCGTGCCAGCTGAAAAGGTGACATCAACCCTCCAGCAGCCTTTCTTTCCTGTCCCTCCACCCAAGTTAGCGTCTGAATTATTTGCAAGGTCCAGTGAAGGGTGGGACTTCAAAAGAACCAACGCAGCTCTTAGCTTTAGAAAGGGAAAGGGGAGGAGCCAGGGAACTGGAGACATCGCTTCAGACATGGAGTGATGGTAGATCAAATTATTAAACAATCAGGTTATACATAATAAATACCTGACAGATTTCCTGAAAACCAATCATGACAAACCAACCTAATTTCTTTTTTTAATTTCTTCTTATGACAAAGTAATTGGCTTGTCAGATAAAAGGGAAGAAGTGGCTATAACTACAGAAATATAGTGCTTGAAAATTCAGTCGGAAAGGTTTCCAGTGGCTCAAGCACGTTTTTGGAGGAAATGATGTCTCAGTGATCTATGCCATTTGAATATTCACAGCTTGGCTGAAGAAAGGAAGAGTATACACATAAAATTTACAGATGACATCACCCTGGGAAGGGCTGCAAGACTTTGGGGGCTAAAAGTACCATTCAGAATTATCTTAATGCCCAGGAGAAATGGTCTGAAATCAAAAAGGTGAAATTCAATAAAGATAAAAGCAAAGTACTGCACTTAAAAGGAGAAATCAAATCCACAAATATACCTGAGGAAGAATAACTGTCAAAGCAATATTTAAAAAAAAAATTGTCTGGGGATTATAGAGTGCCATAAACAGAGTATTCATGTTTGGGCCTTTTTTTTTTTTATTTATTTTTTATTCTGGCATTCTGCAGAGAGCTGAATGTAAGTTGTGAAGTAATCTTTTGCTCTAGTTAGTGCTGGCAATGCTGCTGCTGCCATAAAGTTCTTCAGGTGTTGGCAGACTGGAAAAGAGACAAAAATGAGAAAACGATAAAAGCTTTGGAAAGGCAGGACAAGCTTAAGCTGGCTTAAGTCTGGAACAGAAAAGATTAGTGACAGTGTTCAGATACGTAAAACAGAGGACAGTGATTGTTCATTCTCCCTGTCTGTGGCAGGCAGGATAAGAAGTAGTGAGCTGAATTTCACATTGAAGTAGATCTAGATTCAGTAATAGAAAATCTTTCAAACCATAAGGGTAGCAGAAATACTAAGCCAGGCAACTAGGCAGGGTGCCTAGTTTCTTCAACGGGGATCTTGAAGAACAGGCTAGACCCGCATTTGTCAAGGGTGAAAGAGGTGAAGGGTCTCCACAGCAGTGGTGCGTATAGGGGCTGCCTCTGAGCTCTCAGGACCCCGTAGGTCACACTGGCAGACCCAGCTCCTTGCCAGGCTGCATCAAGGTCGGGAAGGAATGGCTGTCCTGCTGTCCTGGGGTAGAGCCAGTGCAGGTGTCTTGGGCACAGTGCCAGGCTGCGTGCGGATCCAGCCCTCAGTCTAGAGAGAAAGCATGGCCATAGTAGGAACATCTGAACTCCTTTCTGTTCTGGTATTTAATCAGAAATTCAGGATATGGGGATGGCAATGTTGTGGGGGGGGAGGGGGAGGGAGCAGCACAGATCTAAATTTATATATATGTTGTGTGCATCTTGCTTCAAGTTAAGTCGAGAACGTGTAACCATCCTCAGTGCCAGAAGCAAAAGAAAATCTACACTACAAAAAGTAGTACTGATAACTCAGATAGATAAACAGCATTCTTCTTGTTGAACCAGTATTGATACTATTGTCTTGCTAGGATGCTCTTTGCTGCGAGAGTTGCCAGCTGTCTTGAAATCCAAACTTTCACACTTGAGAACTTCTACTAGAAGCTGAATTAGCTGAGATGTTCTGACATGATTTCAGTACATGTCCATTCTTCTTCTGCCTGTCCAAGACTGTGGACAGGCATCTGCTTCTGAACCCAGCTGTGCCAGCAGATGTTACCAGCCCAACCAATAGGTTGACAGAACAAGTGGATGAGTGTTCCCTACCTTGCTTCAGGCAAAATTAGCCAGAAGAGCGTGGGCCAATTGTTAAACTAATCTGGCTGCTGCTGCCTAAAATAGGTCTAGGATTACCCTATCACTATGGGTAGATTCCTCTTTTTCTACTAGTAGAGAAATGATAATATGTACTTGGGGGTAGCAGTTTCTTCCACCACCTGCTATTTGCAGACTGAATAATGTCTGCAGACCTTCAAAAACTTCAAAGTGTATTCTTTCCTAACTCCCAGTGTAGCCAAGTGCTGTTGGAACAAACCGGTCTGTACTGCTGCAACTCGGACAGCTGTTGTGCTTCACCCCAGAAGCGATCCCATTTCAATGAGCAGTGAAATAATTTCTTTATATAGAAATTCTTCAAATGTAGTTTGCAAAATATTTTGTTATCCTCCAGAATTAAAGGCACACATCTATGAGTATAGCTATCTAAAAAAATGAAATGCACAGCTTTAATATAGACAGTGGTGCAGTTTCCAAGAGTTACTGCTTAGAAACATTGAATGAATGATGCTGTCTTTGCCAGCTAAGCCTTTTTTATTTCACTCAGGCACCATTGTGCCTCAAGCCTTTATTACATGCAGGGTGAGATCCCCACTTGCGCAGAGGAGCAACAGCAGATCTACCCATCCACATACATCCTCAAAAGAGGCCTTAAGTACTTTGTAGCTCTAGTGCTGCCCTTCTTCGGGGTCATGAGTCTTCAGATGATAAAGGTTAGGAATATGTTGAGATGCTTGGAAGAAATAATCCCAATGAAATGTGTCAAGAGCTGTGTGTTTTGTTCAGGATTTGCTGGTAGTTATCAACCGCTGTGCAACAGACAACAAAATTTTCCCTATTCAGTCTAGTTTTTAACTATGCTTGCTATTTTCCAGGTACAGAGCTGCATCCTTTAGAAGGCCCCCACCAAACCAACCTATTGACAGGACAAATGGCTTCAAGAGACAATTCCTTAGCCACAAGGATAGACTGTGACCATCGTCCCAAGAACCTGACTCACTCTTCCACGGGTGTTTTTTGACTACTTGCAACCACTACTGATATCCAGAGGCCAACCTGAAGCTGTACCAGGATATGTGTTTGTGTATCATTACTTTACTGAGAGGCAGCATCTTTTAATTTGCACATACCTGCTACTGCAGCTAATCATTTTCATGCAAATTGTTGTCTTACTCTGTGCAGTTCCCAGGAGACAGCACAGCTGTCAGGCAGAGCAGAATTTGGTACCCCATGCTGGCCAAGCTTTGTTTTAAGCTCTCCTTGTGTACCACCTTCATGTGGTGTCTTCACATCATTAATATGTTCTTATCTAGACAAATGTGATGGTTTGGTGTTCAAACATATGTGAATACAGTACCTCAATAAAATTTGGCATTTGCTTGTGTCGTATTTTTCTTCATTTATCATTTTTCCCCACCTTTTCCCTTACAATTTTCCCATGTATCTTCCTAAAATCATTTTGATGGGAGAATTTTCCAACAAAGGAAGTGAAGTTAGTCAAAATGTAAATGTTTTGTAGGACAGTTTTTGATTTTGGTAAGTTATTTTCATAAGAAAGAGTAAACACTGAAATGAATTGAAATAAACATCCACAGACATTTTGTGGATTCTACATCACAATATGATGGAATTTTTATTTGAAAGCAAACCTAAAAATGTTTCCAGGCGTGTTCCAGTTTGGAGCACTAATCTGTGACGTATTGGACTTCCTACAGTACTCAGAGAGCTCTAACCACGTTTTATTTCCTCAGAAGTCTTAGGGAACAACCAACATAGTCCTGAACTGTCATATGGGAGCTTTCAAGTTTGTCAAGCTTTAAGGTTTCAGCCTCTAAGTCATGAACGTTAATGAGTATTATTTCTTTTATCTTGTAAGAGTTCTTTAAAATCTGTGATCAAAAGAGCTTCTAAAATTTAACAATGCTGTTTATGTTAAAGGAGTAGACAGATTACATCTTCCATTTACAGAGGAAGCCTGAAATATTCACCTCCTGCGTCAGTTTTGTTGCCAGGTATACTTCAAATTTTAACTTAATCTTTGTCTGTGATAGTGTTTGAAACTTAAACTTCTGTGCAGTTATCCTGTATCATGCATCAAAAAACTCACGTGCTTTCAGCCTGAGCTACTTTTACGTTATAGTGCTTAGCTGGAAAAATATAACAACCCCTGCAAAAGAAATGGAGAGCATAGTATATGTTATTCCTGTAACTGCTTGCATACACTGTGTCTCACTGAACTGGCAGTTGCCATTTTTGACTTCTAGAAAAATAAAACCACAGTAGACAAAAAAATCAAAACTTTTCTAATAATAGATCATACACCTGACCTTCCAGCCCCATAACTTCTCTTGGCTGGGGCTGTCAAAGAGCATACGGGAAAAAGCTTATGATTTTTGCCAATTGATTGTCTTAGGCTCCTTTCAGTATTTGAGCCCCAAGATTCACATGCTAGAAGCCTATGCTTCATTCTAAACAACCAATAAAAGATTTTCAGCACATAAACAAGAGGATTTTGCTCAATTCAACTTTATATAAACTTGAACCAGCACTGCTGTAATTTTTAGATGCCGCAAAACAGTACCTCCCATGCTGATTTGATTAGGGGATTCAGTACGCTGCCCCTAATAGCTTTCGAACGTAATGTGCAGTCTTACAGGGCGCACTGGCTCCCCAAGCTTAGTAGTCATACTAAGGCTTAATGTACTTCTTAGGCACAGCCCTAATTTTGGCCCTGGGAGCATTTTAAGCGTAAGTTGTTTAAATGACCATAGTAAAGCAAACTCGGGGCTTCTCTCTTACCGTTAGCCATAGAGAAGCTAATGAAGATAACTTACTAGAGTTGCTGAGAGTGGTTTTTATTATTTGTTTTTAAAAGTGGAAGAATTTTACTAATCATAAGGGCAAAGTAAAAATGAGAGAAGAGTAATTGTATAATACTATGCAATAGGCCTCATGGATTGTGGCGTATAGAAAGTCCATGTTGTCTCTCTGTACATTTATAGATGCCAGCAGAGCGGCACAAGCAGCAGCCTCCAGTGATCTCCTCAGAACCGTGCCATCATTTTTCAGAGTCACACTGGCAAAGCGGCAGCTCACAGATCAAAGACACCGGGTGTATGCAGGGAGATCTGCAGATCCGCCCAAGAGTTGTTTGGATTTGGGCTTTGGTTTACTTAAATATGTATCGTTTTTCCTTGGACCTGCTTTGTACAATGCTTATGCTCTCTAAACTGGGATCTACAGGAGTGAGCCTTCCTTGTGGCAAGTGCAAGCTGTCTGCCTGACTAACTGCGTATCCTCAGTTCCCTTAGCAGATCTATCCTTATCGTCCCTATCATCCTCCAGATACCTGTGTGTTAATAATTAGCTAGTCACTTGTAATCTTTAGTTTGACTTTGGGTTTAAATAGAAAATACCAAATCAATAGTCCCACAATATCAATCAAATCCTTAATGACTTTCATAATTAATCTTCTTATTTAAATATCACGCCTGAAAGCTTTGGCCTTTACAAGTTCTAAATTATGGAAGAAAGACCAAATAAAAGTCATAGCTGTATTGAATCAAAATGTCTGCTCTGTTTTGCTAACATGACAAAGGCTAGAGGTCCTCAAGATAGTTCAATCCTTCAAGTCGTGGAAGACATGAGGCAGGAAGAGCATAAAGACAGCCACCTCCTAGGAACATGAATGAGAAGCTTTTGTCTATAAGCCTGAAGCTCACAGGAATCCTCCCTCTCTTAATTTGAGGTAAGGTATTTAATATTTTGTCAAATTCAGAAGTTGTCAGAGGAATGGTGATTTAGGTGTCTGTTAAAGATCTTGTTGTCCTTTCTTTTTAGCCATTTAGGTTTAGAAAATAGTATAAATAGACCTCAAATTGTAACAGACATTAGTTGGCTAAAGACTCATTAATATTATATTGCGTTAAAGGTAGAGGATGAGAGAACTGTGCAAAGGACATGTTTTTGGAAAGTCAGTTCCCAGCCGTATGAAGCTATTTCTTTCAGAAAAAGAGATACCTGTCACACTGAGAAACTGAATTTTAGATTGGGATAGAGAAACCCAGTTTTTGCAACATTGCTTAAGCTATCAGTAGCAAGAGTAGCATTTATGAAGTTTTTATCAGAAATGCAAACATTATCCTAAGACTAATTAGGAGGGGAAAAATGGAAAATCTGATCTGAACATCCACTAACACCAGGAAAGCTGGATCTGTCTGGATTCCCACCTGCTATTTATTTCTAAAGTGGATCCTTGTCAGGGAGTGCTGGTTTCTAGTAGTTGACCGAATTATTCCACGTCAGCTTGCTTTTTCTATTACTGTGTTGTTCCTTAATGACCAAGACAGCGCATGTGTGTGCTACAGATAGAGATCTTTGGTTCATATATGTGTATGTGCCTATATATAGTACCTTTATATAAAATGCCTTCGCAGAGGAAGACTCTATCCAAGTATCTTTGAGTCCCTGAGTCTCTGTCCAATATGCTAAAATTTACATTTTAGTTATGTTACATACTTATTGCTTAAAAACACGAATAGGAAAATCATTCCTGCCTTCTCCATTATTCCTGTGTTTTTTCCAGTCTGGGTCCTTTAGAAAAACTGTTGAAGAGCCTTGCTTTATATAGAGAAGAGTACGTTGTGATGGCAGCAGCAGCACCAAGTGACATTAGTGCAAACAATGCATACAGGCAGCTGTTGTACAAGCACCTTTTTATGCAGCTGATGGAAAGTTTAGGGATGAAGCATTTAAAACAAACACTGTTTCAAATAGCCCTTGAGCCGATAACATGTTTCAGGATACTCTAGCTAAAGAGCCATCACTCTTATGAAACCACAGCTTCCCTTTCCCCCTGGGTAACAAGATGCTGGTGGCAATGGGAGGTTTGTGTAGCTACTTTTTTTCCTGTTCCATCCACTCTGCTGAGCATTACACCACTGGGTCAAGCAGTGTCACCTAGAGGCTTTGGGAACAACGGGAGAAGTGGGACAAGGGATGTTCAGGCTTTTGTTGGCGGGGGATGGAGGTATTGGTGGGCCAGGAACATGCTGTACTTTGGGAAGAGTGACCTGAAAGCTTGGGACCAGGTGAAACCCACAGCTCATCCATGTCTCGCAGCAAGCAGAGAGCCCTTCTGCTCTTTCTCCTTTCAACTCCCCTTCTCCAGCCCATCCAGCATGAGCAGGCCCTAGCTTGGCTAAACCCAGGGCTAACAGGTTTGCTGGGGGAAAGCAGCCTCCTGAGCCCTAATTGAGGCAAGACCTGTATCAGTTTGAAAGAGTTTGCCTAAGCGAGGACCCAGGATTTGGACAGGGGAGGGTGGAGAGCAAAACACTGTACCAAGGCTGACACTGATGAACACGCTGTGTGGGTTTGTTGTCAATTGTCATGTTTCATATGATAATCCTGGCTCCAAAGATAACACCTTGCGATGCCATGGTCCTCTGCTATTTTCTCTGTTTCCACATTCTCCCTCTTTTTCACAAAACATGTAGGAGGTGGAAACCCTTCAGAGATTCACAGGAAGCTCAGGAGAGCACCAAAACGGCTCTGCAGATAGCTTTCAAATAGCCATAGGACTGGACTCCATCTGGAAAACCAGTCTCAGGTCAGAATTGTCCCTGCCCACAGTTACTTGTTCCAGGGAGGAGAGTGAGATGTTTCTCTTGTTCCTGATGAATGACTACTTGTTGCTGCAAACAAGCGTAAGGTAAGTACCTTTCTCTTAATGAATGCACTGCAAAATGGAACCAATGTTTTTCCCTAATGTATCAACCACAGAAATTTCAGTAAATTGAGTCTGCTCTTTCTGCAATGCTGAATCAAAATGTCAAACCAGCACAGCTCAATTATGGGAGAGGAAATAAGGCAACGTACTGAATACCAGCAAGTTATTTATGAAATACTTCAAATCGCCAATGCTGTAACTACCTGTGGGAAATTAGAACAGACAAGAGCATGGATTCAGCTGTGGGAAAATTGATTCAAAGCAACTTGTTTGCAAAGTTTCAAAATTCAAATTTTTACCCTGTCTGAGCTTTATCATCTTGGTTGTGCCATTCAGTCTGTTAGTTTTTGCTAAAAACATTTTTAGGTGCAAATAAATGAGGGGAGGGAAAGAAAAAAATCACAGTTTCTTTTTGGAGTTTAAAAAAGGTAAATGAACTTGTCATTTTTTCAGTACACTATTGTTTTTCATTTTACCGCTCTTAAAAGAGATGAGTCACCCCCAAATCCTTTCTACACTGGAGACTGTATTGCAACTGAAGCATTTTTCTTTGCTCTTTTAAGCAGAGATGAACACCTTAATTTAGTGATGCTGAGAGACAGTTTGCAGTGACTTTAATGTCACATGAGGTTGGCTCTGAGTGCTTCATAT